GATACACCTGTGGTACACAAACTTAATTCCTAGTTACCTTGTTCAGACTCAAGCATGAAGTCATGTACAGGAAGGAAAGCTAGATAAAACCTATTTCTAGAATTAGTTAGTACTCTATATGACCATTAATATCATGGCAGATAGTGCATATGTGTGTGTATAATTTTAGATAATATTTATACCATAAGTTTTAAAGAGTCAAAATAAATCCAAAGGATTATGAGATTAGTGGCAATAAAATAGTCCTTTAATTTTGGTTCTTCTTCTGTACCATACCAGGTGGCTTTTCTGACATGAGACAGAGATTGTGGACTTTCTTGGCGTTCACAGATGTTGAGGGCTGTGCTGACAGGCTCCTGACAGCCTGTGGTTCCACCTGGCCCTCAAAGACCTCTTTACTCTTAGTGTGAGGTGGAGCACCCCTCCCCGTCAGGACAGCTTTGCTGAACCCAGGAAGGGGCTGCTTTGATTGCCTTGCTGCTGGTCAGCATGTTTCTTCCCTTCAGGCAATTAGAGTCAGGTGTCTCCCATCTATGAGGAGACAGGGTATGGCCTGGCTCACGGGCCTTGCTGTTGGGTGCCCAGCAAGGATGGTGGCTACCGATGGGCACTGACCAAAAGCTATGAAGGATTGAAGGCCAGGATCCACATCTTCTCCCCTACCAAGAATCTTGAGGGGGCAAAGAGGCCCTCAGGACAGGGCGTTTAGGTGGCCCAGCCATATCTCACCATCCAGATAAGAGTTCTGGGCAGGCTTTGACCCAGCACCCTTCCTGAGAGTGAAGGTAGGTAAAGATAGCCCATGGTCTTCCCCCAGTTGCTTGTCTTAGAGCTAAATGAGAGGACAAAGGTCAAGGACTAGGAGTTAGGTGGAGCCCTGACAGACGGACAGACAGGCAGGCAGGCAGGCAGGCAGGGATGGGCATCAGAGATAAATAATTTCTGGCTTCTTCTTTGCCCTCCTGACCTGAGACAAAGGTCTGGCGGCTTGATACAAAGGCCCAATGGGCTTTTCCTAAATTAAAGGTTACCCCATTCTAGCCTACCAAATACCCTTAGCAACCTGTCGCCCTCCAGGAAGAGGCTGAACTTCAGCGTCTGAGTCCCCCACCTGCTTTGTGGGAGGGGGGTCTTTCTCTGTGCATGCCTTGCTGTGTGCATTTTTATCAGGCGTGATGCCGCACACCTGTAATCCCAGCACTTGGGAGGCAGAAGCAGGCAGATCTTTGCGAGTCTGAGTCAGCCTGGTCTGCATGATTCCAGGCCAGCCTGTGCTACACAGGGAGACCCTGTCACTAAAAAAAAGAGTATTTTTCAAGTGTCAAATCTACCTGCAGTGTGGGAGATGTCCCCTGCTGTGAACTGTTCTGTGATAGAGGTTTTATTGTTGTTTTGTTTCCCTGTCTTTTAATTCTTTAAGTGTTGGGTACTAACAGAGGGTGTGATGAGACAGCCCTGGGCAGAGGCTGACACGGAGGACCTTAGTAGGAAGCTTGACTGAGAGGCCTCCCTCCCTGGCCTTGGCCTTTCATTTCTCCCACCTGGCCACAATTTTTCCAACAAAGCAACTTCACGGAGGTTGGGCTTGGTGAGTGCAATAGCCAATAATGGCCTCAGGGGGTCAGCAACAACCTGCTTTTCCCAGGAACCGCGTCCCAGCACATCAGCTGGTTAGCCAGGGAGTTCCAGGACCCGGGCCTTAGTCCACATGTGGCTCTGAGCGCCTCTTCTCCTTCTACTGTGACTGACACTCATCGGACCTGGTCCCGTGACCAACTTGGGCCCTACCCAGATGATATCACACCGGAAAGAGCAGAGGATGGCACAACTAAACCACCTAGCTTCAGGGCTGAGGTGGGAGGCTAAGGAAGGCGTAGGAGGACAGCCGGCCAGGCACACCCCCTCACAGGGCAATAGCCAAGTAAGCGCCAAGCGAGTCTCCAGCATCATCCCTCTAAGTAGTGCTCGGTGAGGTAAGCTCTTGGGGTACACTGCCAGGGTCACCGCATGTGGGGAGAACCATGCTGGGGGACCAGGGTGTGAGGGCACAGATATTTCCTGGAAAATAGATAATGATAATAGGAGGTGGGCCAGGAAGAGGATTAACACACGCTGAGGTCTCTGGCTCTGTCCCAGGTCACCAGACATTCACTGTGTCTCTGTCACACACAACCCTGGGTTCTGCACAATCAGCCAGACAGAGAAAGTACTACAGTAAGGATGGCTGGATTAAGTCTCCACAGAAAAGAGCCCATCACTGTCCCCTCCTCCTGTCCAAGTGTGGTTTGGGGTCTGCTCTGATGATCATGTTTTGAGGTGTCTTGGGGGTGTCGCGTCATAAATTCAGGGTTGCATGAAGGAAAACTAAAATGCCGGGTGCAGTGGTGCGTGTCTGTCAAGTACCCCAGGTTACTCTGGGAACCTGAGGCAGCCCTGGGAAGGTGGGTGTGGACTGACCAGGCAGAGGCTCCTGCTCTCGGATGGAGGCTGGGCACCGCCAGCCTTTGCCCCCGCCCCACACTGCCCTATGCTCTCTGCCCCCACCTCAGGCTGCCCCCTGGGCACGTTCCCTCCCCTTCTTGGCTCTTGCACTCGTGGTAACTCTTGCTTGCTTTATTCCTCTTTCCCCTTTTATCTGTTAACTCTGCTCACTCTTGGGGGCTCAGGTTTAGTGGCACTTTAGAGGGCGATGGTGCACACCCCATCTTTTCCTACACGGGGAGCCTGGCCCCTAAAGCCCCCATGGGTGGGGCGCTGTGACAGCATCATCCCTCAGGACGCTCCGTGGACTTGGGAGCTGTTTTTCTGAGCTCAGGAGATCCAAGGCGGGACATGCGTGGCAGGCAGAATTTCCCGCCCTCGGAGTTCTCTGTAAAGTGGGGTGGCGGTGGATAGACCACACCATGAAGGTTGTTCTGTGAGATCCTGGCTAGGGAAGCCGCTGCAAAGAATGCAAAGGGTGGGGCCTTCCTACAACAAACAGGTTCCCGCAGGCCCGGGCACTCTCAGAAGGCTTCCTGGAGGAGGCGGAGGAGCCCGGAGAGAGGCACCGAAAGGAAGTGGGCGTAGGAGCAGGAGAGAGAGTAGACGGTACCCAAGGGCGGACTCCGGCCCGAACCACCAGACTGATCACGTGGACGCAGGCGGGCCCCGGTAGGTGCGGTGACGCAGCCGGCCGGCCGGCGCGGCCAGGTGA